AAACAAAAGTTAAAGTGTTAAAGGCAAAGTTGTTTCACACAGGGGGTTCCTTTCTAACTTGCTCTACAGAGCAGCACATTCCACATTATGAATGTATTTTTTTTAAAAAAAAAGCTTAACTCTAACTTTTGTTATGGCCATGCCTCTTTGTGTATAGTGTAGCTCCCTGTGTTGATTGGATTTGCTAGTGTGGGTTTTTCCGCTGCGTGCTCCGGTTTTCCCAGAGGGTAACTAAAAATACTAAACTTGTTAGCTAGATTTAAAAATCAATAACACTGTCATTATTAAACCCTTAAACACAATAAAACTTATAGCCTTTCTTTCCACAAAACTTTTCAGTAGGGGTGTAACAATATATTATGATACAAAAATGTCACAATACGTATCATGGAGCTACTGGGAGATATCATCCAGAAGCTTCATTATGTTTTAAGAGAAATAAAAGGAATACAGCTCTCTTACAAGAGACATATTCCTCTTTAATGTTTAATTCTCTGTTTACAAGTTATGTTGCTGCCCCTAGAGGCTGGATGATAATCTGCAATACAATGCACATCAGACCCCGATGTTCTTAGCATCGTAATTCTCACTTTGGACAGTTTCAGAAAATGTATGTTTTGCAAAGTTTATTTTTTGTGTTGTTTTTCTTCCATTTTGATAGATATTGTGATTGTATCAAGGAATTAATATTGAGATGTATACCACATCCTGACCTGTGTGTATCGTTATACCCCTTTATGTCAGTATTAATCAGTACTTGAAATTTAACAGATCCCATAATGACAAATGTTGTCATTACTTAAATTTCTTACATTTTGCTCCTTTAATTAATTGAGGATTCATAAGTAACTTAAAAAAAAAACAATATGTTGATTTTCTTTCACAATAAAATGTGTCTATCAGTGGACCTTAATAAAAAGAACAAAAGAAGTTCTTGACTGCTTTACCACAATGTTAAACTATAAACCAGATGTTTCCGATTGTCAGAATCTAATATTATTGTTTAATTTTGAAAATCACGCACATTTAAAGTCAAGGATCTTTCCGGGATAAAGTAAAAGTCGTTTGTGGAATGTGTTTTGTTAAAGTATTCTTTCAATTATGGATTGAGTCGAAGAAAAGGAAGAAAATGTGTCTTTAGCAAAGCACACTGTGCGGTTGTATAAAAGAACAATGTGAGATCTGTATCTCAGTTTCTCCACGGAGCTGATCTTTATTTCACTGCTGACTGTGAGCTGAGGATTTGGGCTTTAATGGCTCTTGTCTCTCTGCTTCTTTCCTTTCGATAGTTTGATCAGATCCACTGCTCATTAGGATGCCGACGTGTCAGGCCCCTTCATGGGAACCCACAATTAAAATGTTCTTCATGCACCGCAAACATGTCAAAGGCTCACACCAGGAGCTACAGCAAAGATGGAATCAAATCTGGTTGAGATGAGCAGATGTGAAATCCTCCACTCAAATGGTTAAGCTTGAATATCGTGTAATTTGTTGCATTTCTAAAGTGGTTCTTTAGGGGATTGTTGTTTTCTCAATGTTTTTTAAGATGGCTTTTTAGAGCTATAAGTGAGATCCATGCACTACAGTGTGTGAAATGAGAGTTAGTGTGTCACAAATTACAAGATGTTACCCGGATGGTTTAGTACTTCCAATTAGGTTTCAAAGAGTGCTCAAATGTAATGTATAAAATAAAGAGAAAATTATTTTAAAGGTCCACAAAAGACAAAATGAGACGCAACTGAGCATGTTCAGTGTTATTTGATATGGCATTTTATTTTGTCACCCTTGCCGCCATTAAAAATACCTTATTCAGCGGTGTCCAGCTCTTGACCTCAGCTTATAGCAAGACTATTGTACTAAATTAAAAGTCCTTTAACCCAATGGCTAAATATTAAGTGTTCATGCATTTTTTGAAGAACAGGCCTTCAAATATAGAAAGTTAAATAAGAAGTCAGTTAATCTATTTGCACCTTAATAATGTTAACTTTCTTCTGTTTTATTTAAATGAACAAAACAAGTCTGACGAGACGGTTAACCACTTGTAACCGCTCAACCGAATGACCGTTTCGGAGTAAGGAGTGTTTTATGGCAACGTACACACTGCACACTATTCTGCTGGACACTCGAAAGGATCCACTTTCCCAGCACAAAAAAATGCACTGCCACTGCTTTAACCTGCAACTTTCGCATTAGATTTAAAAAAGGGATGGCTGCTAATGTTTCCGCTTGTAGAAACTTGACTGATCAATAGAATTGATCTAAAGCAAGAGGTAATTTAATCTACTAACAACGACTGTTGAAATCAAAGCCCCAGATATTTCAGATGAATCCTGGACGGACATATTTTTTTAGTCCTAAATGTTTGTTTTCCTTTCTTCATGCAGTTGGGGACATTTTATGTGCTTGTATTATGATTTATACCAAAATATCTGTTGATTTTTACATGCAGATAATAAATATATATATATAAATTTGTAAAAAGTGTTTAGTTGCTTGCTCAGCAACAGATTCTTAACAAACAACCCAAAACTGATGCCGTTTCAGTTATTCCCCACTGTATCATACAAATAAATAGTTTTAAAAAAGTCATACATCGTGATTTCTAGATTTTTATTTTGAGAATATGTCTCTCACAGTGGACGTGCACCTACGCTGAAAATTTCAGACCGCTCCAGGATTCCATAAGTGGGAAAACTTAATTCAAATACATTAGTTCAAATATTTATCTCCCTCATTGTAAATTTGTACATATTTATGTATGGAGTACACTTCTAATGAGGGGGATTTTGGATTTTGTCACACTTCCTGACTTTGTTTGTTTATTTATTTTATTTTTTGTTTGTTTTTTTCCTATTTCTTTGAGGCTCTTCAAAATACATTGAAAAGTACATAATAAAACCCCAGTTTGTTTTGAAATCTGTTTCTTGGAGAGACCTTGCTGATGCAGCATAACTACCTTTAGTCTTGTTGCTGTGCTCAATCTTGGCTGACAAGCAGCATGACGCTGGATACAGAAAAAAGACCGAAAGGACCCGGACTCGCTAAAAGAACGAATGCTTCTTATAAAGCATGCCACCAACAAGGATCCCTATGGCACCATCATGGCTCGTGAATTCACGATATGAATACTAATACAGTTTAGCCCAGATAGTAAGCAGGGCTGTAGAAAAAGATCAAGGCAAATCTAGATCTGACCTCTGTGAGCGATGATAGGAGTGTGTGAGCTTGAGTGTGTGCGTGGGGAAAGGTGTTAGCATAACTGTGTGCGTCTATATGCAAAGTGCCAAGTTTCTGCTAAGAGCTTAATAGTCTCCACATGGACAGAGCGATGGATTGCATGCTGGAATTGCTCTGCTGTTCAGCCAAAGTTGCGAAATTTAATTTTACTGATGAAAGCGGAGTTTGAATGAAAAGAGGAGGATGATGGACGTTCAGAAGGGGGGGTGGGACAGAGGGAGGGAAGGAGAGTTTCCATAGTGATGTCCTTGTGGAGGATTCCAAGTTGGACAGAATGGCAGTCGTTCAGTCATTCATCAGGCTTTCTGATCTTTATGAAGAGAGGCACTTTGTTTTATTAAATATAAACACTCTCCCTCTTTACCTCGTTCTCTCGATCCGACTCGCAGTCACCTGCACTCATGGCTGTAAAGAACACACACGCTGCATCATTAGTCACACTGTACAGGAGGTTATGGCTCATTCTGATTTGCAGTGTCATTGAGATCCTATGGTTTCTGCTGATCATGCACAATAGAGGATGTCCTGTGATTGATTCCCTTTCTTTTTAATTATGAATAGTTGGGTGTGTCTACAGATTTCTGACTCAAAGGCCCGTGTGCTTAGTTATAGTACTAATCATACATTGAAAACTGCTTAAAAAGCATTCAACCAATGTTAATTTGTTAAGTCCATACATGCATTGTAGCTCTCCTGAACTCAAGAAGGTTAATCAAAGCTGATATCAACACAAAAGATAATTTTTAATAAAATGTGGCACTGTGCTAAAAAAGTCTGTAAATAAAAATCACTTTCAAAAGTGGAAGTGCTGATCATTAATTTTTAGAAATGAACACAATTCCCAAAATGAACACAATTAGGTCTCTGTGTAGTCTATGGCGACACTTCCACTACTTGTTCTTTTTTACGCTGTCGATAGCTCTTGAATAATTTGGCTGTGGGTTTATGGTTGTTGTCCTGCTGCAGAATTAATTTGGGCTAAATTTTATGCCTCTCTAATGGTATTGCATGATGGATCTGCTTGTGTTTCTGAGCATAGACCATTCATAGACCAAATTTCCAACTATTTACAAAAATGCAGCTCCAAATGTTCGATGAACCTCACAACACCTCAACCATTTGCACAAACCTCCAGCCCTTTGACACACAAACTGAAATCTGGTACAGCCAAATATACCGTCAGTCCACAACACCAGCTGCCATTTTTTCTGCACCCCAGTCCTACGTTTCCAAGCTACGTTTCTGAGTCACTTGGTCTAGGTCACGCTAAGAGATATGGCTTCTGGCTGCAACTCTTCCATGAAAACCATTTCTGGACAGACTTTTCTTGAGAGTAGTACCTTGGTCCTGCTGGTCTCTGCTAGTTCTGAGATGTTGGCACTGCTGGATATCTTCTGTGTTATTATCTAAATATTGATTTAATTAGGGCTCAAGCAAGGTGCATAGAACCCTACTATAATAGCTCAGAGCATTATTGTTTCTCCACTTTCTATGCAATTTTGGGGGGCTTGAAGTGCTCGCAAAGTCACTGATTTTCACATACACACAACAGAACTTGTTGTAAAAGTATGTATGTCTGATTGAGGTTTCAAAATTAAGTGTGCGTAAATATAGGTTAAATGGACCGCATTTTATGTCGTACTTTAACAAACTCCTCCTGGAGACTTTATCTTTACATTTGACATTTTTACATTTCATTTATGCATTTGGCAGACGCTTTTATCCAAAGCAACTTACATTTGAATGAACATATTTTTTCTGTCAGTTCTTGCTTGATTTGAACCCACAAACTTTGCGTTGTTAGCGCAATGCACTACCAACTGAGCCACAGGAAAGCTCGTTAATCTCCAAACTCGTTATCTGTTAATCTCCAAACTCTATCAGTATTATCTTAAGTTATGTTAAATTGCAAAGCTTTTTTTACTTCTTGATGGCTATCGAAATTTGACATTTCGCTATAAACAGGAAGTTGTTCTTGTCTGATTGGTCCCAAATCTATGTTAACAGTCCATGTCTGAACATATCTACAATGTACTTTCTCTGTTTTAGGTCTCACAAAAAAAAGAGTACTTTTTGCTCTTACTAAAGAAACTACTGGGATTGTTACTTTTACTTTTACTTGAGTACAGATTTTGGGTACTCTACCCACCTGTTTATCATTCAGTATTTTTGCAATTCTCTCTTGAAAACATTTAAATAAGGTTTGGTCGCAGCGCATAATGCAACAAACTGACCACAGAGATGTGATGGCGCCAGAGGTGCCTGCAGCTTTAATTGGATTTTTCTTTTGTTGGCTCACTTTGATTTTTTATTTTTTTATTTTTTTGACTTTTTAAAAAAATGTACAATAAAGTATTATTTTTTTGTTAAGCATTCTTTGTTTACAACATTTCCTTTCATACATTTGCATGGTACAGTTGTTGAAACCGCTAAAACATTGATTGGATTCTGAAACCCATTAAAAAATAAAATAAATGCCCTAAATAAAATAAAATGAGTGCTTTGTTCCATAGATAGTTCCTGGTCCTTTTGCTTAAGTACTGATTTATATAAATAAAGTGTTATAATGCTGCTGATCCCACTTTATTGTGCTTTGGCGTTATTACAGCTTCAATAATTAATCCAGATATTAAGAGCTAACTGCTTTTCATCCATCATTGGAACTCTTCCTTTAATGGTTCGCAGTGGTTGCTGCATACCAACTAAACGGACACTGTAAACAGTTGCTGGTGGTACTCTAAATATTAGAGCACCATTTTTTATTACTGTTATATAATATTAGTTTTATAAGCATCAGGGCTGGCAGACAGTGAGGGCAAGGAACAGGTTTATTGATGTTGATGAAGAATGGGCACAACCATGTAAAAAAACATTTTTCGACTAATCCTATGGTGCCCTGCATGTGTATCCCATTTTTTGCAGACAAAAATCCTCAATAGTTTTTGAAGTTAGCATCACATTTTGAAGTTACAACACATGATTTGATGATTAGTGATTTTGTAATCCATTTAAACAGCTGATCATTTATAAAGAAGTATAGTTGGATTCTGAAGAGCCTTGGGAGTAGCGGGATTATGGTGAGCATTTAATGAGAGCGTTCAGTGGGGTGGACCATCATCCATCCTCTTAATGTGTGTGTAATTTCACACTCACTAGCAGTTGAACCTAGTCAGGTTACAGCACATGAGGACACGTGAAGAGCAATACCATTTCCGTTTCCACATCAGTCCTTGAGCTTCGTCCTTTACTCTTGTTCTCACTAAAATCACCCACAAATCCCATCTAAGCCCATTGCACACAGCTCAAGTGAAATTAGCCCTAGCACTTCTGAATTTTAATGTTCAAATGAGGTTCTGATGGATTAGCAAGCAGTGCTCTGTCAGAACAGTGTGTAACTGTTTTGTACAGAGACAAACATCAGAGTGTCACCTCTTTGATTTATACAGCGCTCATAAAAGTGACAAATAAAAGATGAATGACTTAGAAAGCTGTTTTTTCTTGGTCTGAATTCTTTTGTAGTGTATATCTGCAGGAAAGCCCCAACATTTGTGTTCCATTGTTTCTCTATTTTAAGGTGCTGCTGTCATAAATGTCACATTTGTGACAGCTGTCATAGACGTCACAGAAACACAGAAAAAAGCCAAATCCAAACAACTGCAAATGTTTCTTAAAGTCTATATTGAGTTTCTTTAGAGTTGCCCATATCAGATTTAGGAAAGCACTTAGCTGCTGGTTTCAATCCATAGAGAAAATACTGATTAAAACATAAGATGCTTTGGAGAAGAGTGTCTGCCAAATGCATAAATGGAAAATATGTTCATGGCTGCAGATATTCACTATTGTTTTTAAATACTTTACACACTGTTTGTTTCACTTGATGCTTGTATTTACATGAATTGCCAATTGCTTTTGAAGCCAATCGCTACAGAAGTGACTGAAACATCAACTCACTGGCTTGAACCAGTGGGTTTTTAATACCTATTTTAATGCTTATGTTAAATTAAACCTAAATGTGTTCATAATTAAGCCTATTGTTGGTTTAATTGCAGCCATAGACCAACAATTAGTGTTCTTTTTGCATGCAAGCTCCATTTGCTGGCTTATTTGTGACTTTCTGGTAATTGTGCACCGCTAAGCAGAAATGAACTAACTTTCCCCTCTTTTAACATCTGAAACCTTATTCAGGAACATATGGGTGATATAATGCTATATGTCAATCATTTTGTACAGTCATTGGTGCAAGAGCCCCCTTGTGTGTGTTCACACTTGTCATGTTTGTTGGATTAAAATGAACCTTGGTGTAATTGCCAAGTCAGTGTGATGAATTTGAATAGGTGTCCAGATCCTGGTGTGGTTTAATTGTAGTATGAGCACCTCAGGCCCAAAATGTATACATTTGGACCAACAACTGGATGTGATGTCACAAGAAAATGGTTCTGAGGAATTTTTTTATGGTAACCATATGTGTAGGAACCCAATGAGCAATATTCTGTCATGGAATACTTTCGTCAAAATAAACTGGCCACTTAGTATCATCATTATACTTTTAGGTTTGTTACTGTGCTATCAAAAAACGTGTGTGAACACAAACCAGACCAGAGCCAAATTAACAAATCGAACTGAACCCCTAGTGTGTATAGACACTTAATCCCCACCTGGAGCCTACACTGTACAGTACATAAAAAAAAATATCACTAACAGCGGTCATGACCTGAAACTTTTTCTTGTTTTTTTTTTTATTTTTTTTTTTTTTATTTTGAGAATTCCTACTTAGTAACACAAGCTCTTCTCTCTGATTGGACATGACTTGCATACTTATGATCTATCTGCTAATCTAAACATTTTTCTGTGATGCTGGAAGGTGAGAAAATTGTAAATATGTCACACATTCCCAGTATTGCAGACACTTGCAGCAGTTTGTTCAAACTGTAGCATTGATAAATACACACAGCTCAAAAATGTTGTTTCACTCATTGATCTCTGAAGGATGTAGATGTTCATTTCGCAAGTTTTCATTCTTCCTCTCAAAGAATTTATTTTTAAAAATGCTAATTCTAGAGTGTTCGAAGTACACAGAGTCTATGTTATGTATACACAGCATTAGTGAATAGATTAGAAATAAATACATTACAGCTGAGTCATTTTCTGAGCAAACTACTATTTGATTATTTTTTGTAAAAGAAAAGATATAAAATAAGGATGTCAACTGCCTGTGTTCTTTCAATCTTACACAACAACATAAATCAGGTTTAGTTTAGTTACTAGTCCACCCTGACACTGATAATATGCTTCTGATTAATTCTTAAAGCCATCTTTAGAAGCAGCTTCCATTGTGGTAGCATCTTTAGGCAATTGTCATTTGCTCTGAGTAATTAAATTGGAGAAAGTAGGAAAAATCCACCTTCCTACATTTTTCTGAAGGTATTAAAAAAATTGACTTTCAATTTTCAGGTTAAACACATTTGGTTTCTTGAAAGACTTGCATGACCACTACTTTTCACCGATAACTGATTATGTTGGTCTCCCCACTTGTACTTTTACCAATCTGTCGACTCCTCCTAGCACTTCAAATTTACTTTCAACAAATTATCAAATGGCAGTTTGTGGATTCAGTGCACATTTTTTCATATGTTTATACATTTAATACATTTTTGTCCAAAGTGACTTTGGACAAATTGCATTTAGAATTTTTTTCATGGGAATCAAACTTATGATCAGCAGCTCCATGCTCTACTGACAGAGCAACAGGAATGCTATAAACATCAGACGTCCTGAAAAACATGATATAACCCAGTTTTGACTTTTATAGAACAGCATTCATTGTGTAGTATAAATACAAAAGCTTTATCTATCATATAAAAACCCACTCTTGGTCAAGATTATTGTATATTTAGTGCAAAGGCAGCTGTTATTCTTAAATAAATGTTTTATTGTTCATCCCAAACAGCATCAGGTATTTACTGTTCCTCGCCGTTGCTTGGCAGAGGTGTTAACAGTATATGAAATAATTAACAGTATGTTGTTTTGGATGTACATTAGCATAAATGAATGATGACAGAAATCTTCAGATAATCCAACAATATGTACATGATCTGAACACAAATGAGAACTTTGTTTTAAAGGTTTCTATTAGATGCATTGCGGTGTGTGTGCGTGCGTGTGTGTGTGTGTGTGTGTGCTTGTACGTTGTTGTCAGCATGTTTCTCTGGCTTTAATAAACCTCCCGGAGTTCCTATTTAATTGTGAGTGTGTGTGGATGACAGAAAGAGCAGCTTGTCTCTAATACAGTGTGACATTTACTCACACAACTTCATTAACTTTCCAATATCAGCCAGATTTCACTCTTGTTTCATCTCACATTCGGTGTGTACTCATGAAATATGTTAATTTGAACTGAAACTTGTTCGCACTCTGGAAGCTGTAAATGCTCTTCCCCTGTGAATCACATATTCTTGGGATCTCATGATGATCAACCTCTTCCTAGTATTATTTCTGCACCTTTATTGCCTATATCAGTCGATTTGTGCATCTGGTTGATTTTCAAATTAACCATAATCCCAATAATGAGTTGAGCATCACAGAGATTGATTTAGAAATGTCATATTTTTATATAAAATATACTTCCCCCATCCAAATAATACATTTCAGATGTACCAAACACTCTGTGAATTCCAGCATAGTTCTGTAATATAATGCCACCAATGTAAAAAGTCCCATCTTGACATTTCACTACTAAATATTCGACTGTCAACTGTCAGTGGTGTCATAATTGGAAGAGTGGCTGCCAACTTTCGGTAGTCAAACTCTACAGACCTTCAAACTTTGTGTGACTTTT